GGGTCACTAGGGGAAGGAAATTGAGTACCATGGACAGTGCAGTGGAAATGGCTCACTAGGTCCTCCAGGCAAGTTGGGAAAGGGCCAGGAGGACAGAAAGGGAATCAGTGGAGCAAAGACTTTGGTAGGTATTAATGGTTTAAACAAAGAGAATGGAAAAGACATGAAAATGCTGTCAAAGAGCGAAGCTGCAAAGTTCTAATTTTCAGAGAGAACCTATGTCTGGATCAAAGTAAGAGCCATGCTGTGTCCAAGGAAGTGGACTTAAAGATACAGTGAGGGGGGAACCAGCAGTTAGCGTGATGGCTATGTTGCTGGACTCCCACGTAGTCAACCGCAGTTCGCGTCCTGGACCCGGTGGCTTAAAACTCACGCCGGGCGCGTGTGCGTGCGTGCCCAAGATCCCGAGAGGAGAATGAAGGAGAAGGGATTGCGGCGTGACCATCCCCCCTGGGGGGTGATTTCTCGCTTTCTGTCTCTATGTCTCTCTCCGTCTGTCTGGTGAGCGCACTCGCCCTATAGTGAAAAACCTCTCAAAAAAAAAAAAAAAAAGATACAGTGAGGGGAACCAGCAGTTAGCATAATGGCTATGTCGCTGGACTCCCACATAGTCGACTGCGGTTCATGTCCCGGACCCGGTGGCTTGAAACTCACGCCGGGCGCGTGTGCGTGTGTGCCCAAGATCCCGAGAGGAGAATGGAGAAGGGATTGTGGTGTGACCATCCCCCCTGGGGGGTGATTTCTCACTTTCTGTCTCTATGTCTCTGTCTGTCTGGCGAGCGTACATGCCCTATAGTGAAAAACCTCGCCCAAAAAAAAAAAGGTACAGTGAGGAAGCTGAGAAAAGCAATGGATTCTGAGACCAGGATGAAGCTTCCCATAGCAATGGCAGGAGACAGCATGCAGAGGAAGAGTGGATGGGCCACCAGTACTAGGTAAACATGGTGACAAGAGGAGGCCACCAATGGCCTAAGCAAACAACCCGAGTCTCAAAAGCTGATGCTACTGAACAACGGCTAACACAGAGAGAAGAAAAGCAAAAATAATTCATGAATTGATTCATTTAGTTTTTGACCTATTACCCACTGCCTATTTAACATCTCTCGCATATGTTTCTGAATCCATTCTCTCCTAAATGAACATACTTTCTCCTAACACTTAAAATTTAGTCTTCTTCCTCTGTGTGGTTTGGTTTTGTTTTGGTTTTTAATTCTAGACAACATCATTACCATTCACCCAAGCAGCTGGTCTAAAGATGAAGATACAAAAGTCATCTTCACCACCCCTTCTTGTTCTTCACCTGGATTCCTTCTTCTCCCTGTTTGAAAGCTCTCCTCTTCAGTCTAATAAAGGACAGGGATAAAGACCTGACTCTAGAGTCACACAGCCTTGGGTTTGAATCTCAGCTCACTCATTTCTTCAACAATCCTGAGCACACAAATGTCCTAATCCTTATTTTTCTGTAAATGGTTTTAATACAAGTACTGATCACATACAGTTATTATAAGATTTAAGTGAGTTAACACATATCTGGTACACAACAGTTGCCATAAAAGATTTGAAGACAATTAATTTTAGAATTCCCTTCTTATGATTTTATACATCTGCAAAGGTTATGACCAGATTTCTTAATTTTTGAATTTACAATGGAAAAATTTCTTAAATTTTTAGGAATGCTTTGATTACACAAATAACTGAAGTATTTCTGATTTGATTTTTAAAATCAAAAAGCATGTTCATTTGACTTCCAACTCGAGTGATTTTAATTACATGTGTTTTCTTACACATTTTGAATTATGCTCTTTAGACAATAAATATCTACAGATTAGCATTTTGTCTTCTGCAAAGTTTTTATTAAACAAATTCTCAATGATTAATTCTAACAAATAAATAACGTCATTAAATTTTTTAAATGCCTTCATTTTAACAAAAATATTAAACCCTAAGCAAAATGTCCTTATCAGTGTTAGTAATTGGACATACACTCCAAATGGCTTACTGTTTGTTACAGTTTTTTAGAATGGAAATATGTAATTGGGTTTTGAGCATGGAGGAAAACAAACTGTTAGAGTGGTTGTTGGCCCCTGGCTTTTAATGGCCTCCCCCATCCCACCTGTCAAACTAACATTCACATTCTCTTCTTACTAATCCCTTCTTAAAGCTAAATTCAACTCCCCCTTATCCAGGGCAAAGGTTCAGCGTAAGAGGGAAAATAAGGACAGTACTAACCCTGACTACTGAACTGCATTGCTATTCCACTGTCTGCTATGCCTCATTCTCAGCACCTCTTCCTCTTCCTACTTCTCTTCCTGGTCTTCTCCAGTCATCACCAACTGGACCTGAACAGGTATATTAACATATACATCTATATGACCGGGAACATTCTATCGGGGTGGCAGCAGGTCAATGGAAGCATGGCGTATACGGCCAGAAGTTGTTCAGTAAGATCTCAAAAATTAAATACCAACTTTCTTCTGTGATGAAGAGTCAACGGCAAAGTCAGATTAAGATGAAGATTGGTTGAAATTTAATAGCAGGTATTAGTTAAAATTTAATGGCAAGAGACGCAGAGAGAGAGAAGGAAAGTGAGTAATCACCACCCCCGGGAGATGGCCATACCACCATCTCTACTCTTCCATTCTCCTCTCAGGATTTTGGGCACACACACACATGCGCGCCTGGTATATTTTTCAAGCTGCCAGGTTCAGTACTTGAACCACATAGTCGGTCAGGTGGGATTCACTACCTTAACCTCCAAGCCACCTGTTGGTCTGATTCTCACCTTTGATTAAGGTTCCTTACAAGGAAAGAGTCTACTGGAAGTAGCCAAAGGAAAAAAACAAACAAGAACTAAGTGCCCATGTCTTTTTTCCTCCCCAAATCTCCATATTCCCCTAGAGGTGTATACACCATCATCCTTTGCCCATCTACCACAAATAGATTAGATATCTACTCCAGAATATAATCCTGCCCTGTGCTCTATATTCCAGAAAATGCCTCATTTGCATGAGACCTGATTAGGAAAAGGAATAAATAAATAACAAATGTCTCAAAACCTTAGCCTAAATGGAATGTAAATGGGTCCTAACACATACAGATGGGTTAAAAAAAGGAAAAAAAAAAAAAAAGTAAAGGCTACACTGTAAAAGACAAAAAAATAAAAAATGTTCACTTGAACCACCACACCATTTCTCACATCAAACAGAACCTCAACATGGATGGGAATGTGTCTCTCTATGCTAGCCATCAGTTCTGGTGTTTCCCGTAACAGAGAAATGAAACTACGGCTCAGCTGCAAAGCCCTGGGCCCTGGTTTTCCCAGTGGCCTAAATCAATCCCCAGTCCAGGACAAGATGCTGAGCAAGATGCATAATTATTTTAGGCCACTAGGGTAAGCACTATTCCTGGCAACTCTGCAGGCAGCACCAAGGATGAGGGTTTCTCTTTGGTGATTTGGTTCTGTGTAAACTGAGATTTTTTTCTTTCAGTGTTTCGGTCAGATAAGCAGGAAAGGCCAGCTCTAGACCTGAGACAGAGGCAATCAAGGTCCATTTCGGTTCCTTTGCCGTGCTGTTCAGTCTGCCGCCTTCCTGATAGCTGTCCTTATGCTTTTATCTGACTATCGAATACTAGCAGAGAATCTCTGACAGCCTCTGGTGCTCGCCAGTCATCCAAGGCCCAAGAAATAACAGAAAGATCCTGTAAAATGGTTTCCTTGAAAAGCCAGCCTAAGACCCCTGGCTATGACCTGGAAAAAGTGCCTCCCCTAACATTGTAAAGTGAAGCTGAGACCAGTGTCTGTTCTCACTAGAGGTTTCACTGACTGGCTCAAGCTACCTATCACCAAATCTTTAATTCTTGGTTTGGCACTGCACCCACCATATAATCAGGGAAAGGTGAATCTTGTCACTCCCGTTTGGAAGATGGAGAGATAAATGTTTAAAAGTTTGTCTAAAGTGAACTCAACAAAGCGATGTTATAGCTAAAAAGTAAGTAGATCAGCTCTCACCTGTCCCTGGTTTTGTAGGTCACGGCCTCTTTGTAAGTTTAGAGCAGTGTTTTACTTACCATATTCCTCCTGGGAAACTTCTATTTACTTTCTTAAACCTTGGATACCAGGGGAGAGGCACTAGGTATATATTCCAGACACTTACACAATATGCATTTGCCTCTGGGGTACAGAGCTTCAGGCTGAAGAATTTCTAAGATTGTTAGAAGAACAAATGAGGCATTAGGGGGAACAAGCTTTAGCGTCAGAGGAAATATCCTTTACCCCTGCAAAGACAGATTTAAAATATGTTCTTCGTTATTACAAATTGAAAAAGAACCAGTTTATTCTGTGCTTTTTCTAACAGCATTGCTCTCCTTCAGTATCTTCATTAAATAAATGCAAACACATGTGCTTGGAAACGGGTAGGTGTAAAGGAACATTCTGCACAATTATATCTAGGCTGCCGCAAATTTATATCACATGCATACATATATCTGGAGGGGATGAATGCATGATGACAGCTGAGCATGACAGATGCAACAGTACACAAGTTGGAACGCGGGGGGGTGGGTAACTACAAACCCCATGCAAACACACATACAGTGAGTTTTCCCTCAACATACACGTGGCCGCACTTACAGGAGCTTAACCACACTGAAAAAACACAAACACAAACACGGGCGTCTCCGGCGCCCGCGAGTTGCCCCCACACTCGCCGCCGAGTCGTCATCTCCAGGCAGGGATCCTCG